CAGCCAGCCCGTTTGCGGGATTTGAAACTCTGACCGAACTACCAGTGTTCAGCGATTTTCCCGCTCAGCCGCTGGTGGGCCCTGATATACAATGAAAATTTAGAAAATGTTCAGAATTTAGATTTAAATATCAATATGAGTGGAAAAATAAATTGTATTTATTATTAGGTTCCAAGCGAATACAATAAAAATGCCTTATTATTATTATTTCTCTTTTTGAACTGAAATTTCATCATTAAATCTTGTAATATAGTTTAGTTCTTCATAGTTATTTTCTCTCTCATTGTAAACTAGTTCTGTAGATTGAACTATTATTTAAAATTAAAAACAAAAACAAAACAAAAAAGGAATTATTTTCCATGGTTGAGGTAATCGTTATTCTCTCTTAATAAGTACTTCATTTCTCATATTTTAAATTACAAGTCTAATTTTTAAGGTTATGCAGTTGTGTATGATGTAATTAGACAGGTGTTTATTTTTTTTTTTTTTTTTTTTTTCTTAAAATGTGCTTGAAAAGTGCTTATGAGTGTTTATTTTTTTAACTAAAATGTGGCTATGAACCCTGTGAAAACTTACTATTTAAAAGATTTATCTAATATGTCTTAATGCATCATACACATAGCTGGCGCTAGGCATTTTCAAACCTGATGCAATTTCTGTGGATCCTAAATTCTGCTGCCTAGTGCCTTCCTAAATTCTGCTTCCAATGCCTGCTCTAAAATCTAAAAGTTTTGCCATTTCTAGATTTTGTTGTTTGGTGTGTAACTAAATAAAAAATAACCCAATTGTTGATGATTTCAGCCCTTACTATAATTTCCCATTTCTATTTACTCATATGATAGAGTTACTGAGCCAGATTAAATTAAAATTAAATTGTATAATCTTTGACCGCTACTTCACATTTTTAGTTTTGAATTTGACTGTTCTTGAATTACGTCACCGTGAGCTGTAGTTGATTTTGTTAGCATCAGAACATGCCTTTATGTTCTAATTTCTTTTAAAATAAGAGGCTTATTGAAACCTTTGTCTGATATTGTAGTTATTTTCAGACATAGCCATAATATGATTCACGTCTGTCAGGGGTTTTGGACTATTTAATGTTTACCAGATCAAGTAAACCCTCATAGGTACATTGAGAAGAGGTTGACAAATTAGGAGATAAAACACGCAGAAACTAGCGAGAACATTGGTTTGCATATCAAGACAAATCTCTAATTGTTAGAAAAGATGCTTAAAGAGAAAGAAATCGGTATAAAGTAACCGAAATGTTTGGCAAGGCTTCAAAGTAAAATGACGCATAAATATTTTGTTAAATGTTGTTGTTACAAAACATAAATGTTTTGTAGCTTGTAATTATCCTAATATCCTAATATCGTTTAAGAATCAATATCATAAATTACATGTATTTTAAACTGGAAAATTTTATTAGATTTTGATTTTAATATGTCTTTTTTAACAAATATTGTTAAGAAATTAAATTTATTATTGGCCATGTAAATCCATAATGACTAAGGTTATCAAACAACCTAATTTAATTGTTTATAACTAACTGCTTACCCTTAAAAATTATTTCTACATATTAAAGCAAGTTATTGCCTTTCATAAATACTCACTGTGGTAAAAAAAAGGGGGGGGTAAAATTTCAAGTAAAACTTATTCCTTGCATCTAGTGTGACTTAAAATAACTGGTTTACAAACCCTGGAATTCTACACGAAGCTGTGACACTAACTGCATCAACCAGAGTCTGACTAACTTTCAACATTTGTCAACTGTGCCTAGATCAGGCCTTTCAGGTTTGTTCTAATCAGCAAGTCTCTTTCTCTAGACAAGCAGCAGTGGTGACAACATTTAGTCTTTTGTTATGAATCATGCTGATTATGATCTTACTTCTCATTTTAACCTATGTCGTTTGACATAAAATCTACCTGCTATTTACTAAACCTCTAGACTGACCAAGTATGTGACAAAATGAGACATACAAAAAGTCAACATAAAGCTAACTGTTAGCAAAACGTAAATGTCACTTATCTTCTTTCAAATATGTCCAACTATTATAAGTGTAAAATATTTAATGCTACTTGATATATTGCATAAAGTTAATTTTATTCTCAAATTTATTAATAATTATGTTAATTAATTCATATTTCATATTAATGCATACTATTTAGGGCTCTATTTTATTTTTAGGATGGTATTACAAAAGTGAAATTAGGCATAGAGATTTTTAATTGAATTTATTCATTTCCCATTTGCTCATAGGTCCTTAATTTTTTCATTAATGGTCCTTAAAAGTCTTTAAAAGTACTTAATTTCCCTGTGCAGAAATGTATACGAACCCTGATCTTTGAATCACAGATTTTTTCTGAATTCCTAATGCTTTAGAATTAATTTTTTTCAAATTACTAATTGATGTACTATTGTTTTTACTAAATGAAAGTTCATTATTAAAAATATATGCAGTGTGTGTTAGAATTTTATTTTATTCTTTAGAAACAGTCTTTCCCCCCTGTTGATGCAAATGAAATTTTAAAGTTTATGTCTTAAGAACTTTAACTTATGATTTTTTTATGGGTGTGTCTGTTCAAATGAAAAAAAAAAAAAAAATCTTTAAATATTATGCTGCAATTTATTTTTAAAACATTGTAAGCCAAATTATATTCTTCAAGTGTGCAGTATTTGAATTTGCATCACTTCTGGATTGTTTGTTTTTTCATTAATTTCTTTGTGTATTTGAAGCATATTATTATTCACTGTAAAGGCATTTTTAAGTAGTAAGTTTCATAATCTGAACTTTGTTTGGAGGGGGAGAGGGAATTGGTAAAGCATAATTTTATATTTAATGAGTGCTGTTCATATAGAGCATTAGTGCATAAAAGCAGCATTTAGTTTGTTTCTGGATCTGTCAGTAATAGCTAGACCAGTGGTATTCAACCTTTATAACAGTACTACCCTATAAAAAGCAGATGACTTCAAAAATCTATTACCACTGTACTAGAATATTATAAATGTATCGTTTTGCTTTTTAAACACTAATAATTGAATACCAAAGAGCATGGTAACCTTTTATGTTGATATTATGTGTGGCTATGAGTACAGATTTTTGACTAGCCTGCAAAGTGTTGAATGTGTTAAGGAAGAGAAATTTAACAGAAATTCTTTTCTATTTCCAAAAAATCAGTTTTGTAAAAGTTACTTAGAGGCTAAAAGATTACATTTAGTATTTGAATTGAGAATAACTAGTTAGTTATTCAGACAAGCCCAGAACCTGCACCAGAACTAGTGTGGCCGTACTAGGAGGAAACAAGTTGGAAAGTCTGAAACTAGGAGGAAAATTTGAAAGGTTTCAGATTTTAAATTACGTCCAAAGGGGCTTTTTTTTTTTTTAACATTTTGTGTGTTACCTTTATTTATTAAATATTTTGTTCTTTGAACTTAAGCCATAAAATTCAGTTTAAGGAGCAATATCGCAAAATAGTTTTAAATTGAGCATATCTTTAGAATTTCCGATACACAGTCTCATGCGCTGGAGATAAAAATGTTTTATTCCTGCACAGTGATTGCTACGCTTTGAAATCCCTTGAGTTTGTTGAATAAAAATTTCGTTAAAGGTTTTACAAAATATGAAATAAATAATAAAACAAATTAAAATTTAAAATTCGTTCTTCCAAGTACTAATGCCCATTCGCAGTAGGATTACGTCATTCAAAATTTGATGGCTCTAGGTATCATTTTATCACAATGTGAAAAACATACATACATTTATGAAGATTCTTCATTATTTGATTTCACCAAATATAATACAGGGCGATAATATTTGGTGACAACAGTTTGAAAAGTGAAACGGACATTCAGAGTGATTCGATGAAAAACGAAAACAACAGGGACAAAAAGCCAATTTGGACTAAAAAAAATTAATGAATGGCAAAATACTTAAAATTTAAAGAAGGCACTTTAAAGCAAAATTTTTAGAATTCAGGGTGTCTCTTGGCAGTAAAATTTAGAACCCACAGGTTGTGCACCGGGCCACAAAATGTCTAGTGCAGGCCTTGGATAAGCTTTAAGCATGTGTGTTTGAATTTATTAATTTGGGACCCTGCTAAGCCTTAAATTTGTGTGGAAAATAAGTATAATAAAAAACTAATATAATTCAGGCTTTATCAGCATGCAATAGAAGCAAGACAAAATTTAGCAGAATGACATATCTTTAACCAGTCTCATGATACATCCCAACAATATGTAGCAGATGTTAGCTAAACTTTATGATGATAGCCATGAATTTTAAGATTTTCAGATATTGAAAACACAAAATTTTCCAATTCATGGTAGGTGGAGAGATAATAAATGATGATATAATAGAAGATTTTCTAATGCGATGACAATGCTCCAATCATCATTCAATTAATGGATAGTGAAATCTGTAGTATGGTTCTAAAGCCAGAAAATATAGCTACCAATAATTTTGATAAGAGAGTGGCAGAAATATTATAGAGTATGAATAATTTTCAATTGACAATTTAGTGGGAATATTCAAGATGGCAATTACAGGTACTTTGTAACTGAACAAGAAATGATACTTTGTAACTGAATAAGAAATTGTTTCTATCTATGGAATTAAATAGAAAGTATTAGCAAAAAAACAAAGCAACTTAAACAACTTACATTAAAAGAAATGTTTAATAAAGCAAAAAAATAAATATTGAACTTTTTTTAAAATTTTTATTCCCTTAAAGTTATAAATGTTTCATTATTTCATAAACCACTATTTCATGTTTTTCATTTTATAATTTCTACATGTCATCTTACTGATAATCTGATATTTTGTAGGTACCTTTAAAAATACCAGAAACTTACTTTTAATTTAAAAAAAATCAAATTTTAAGAATGAATTTTATTTAAAAAGTATTTATTTTTAAATCGTGATAGGAATATAATTTTTCATAGAATAAAACAAACACATTGCTTTATTTTATAACATGGGTTTCCTCCCTCCTTTAAACAGGCTGCTATCTATTATGTTGATTTTGGAGACTTCAACACTGTGAGCATGGAGAAACTACAGCCTTTGTATCAAGCATTTAGGAGTCTTCCTTGTCAAGCTATCAAAGCATCCTTAGCTGGTGAGTTTTGTTCTTTTTTTAATTTAAATTATTAATCAAATCAGTTTCCTATGGATCTTAAAATTGTGAATTAAATCATACCAGGTAATCAAAAGTTATTATATCAATATTTGAAAACTATTGAATTACTTAAAAAATTTTTTTTAGTTATCAAATATAGGTACTACTGCATTTGAATTGTGAGCCATTTCTGCAAAATATTTTAGGGTAAAATAAAGTCTTTGCAGGATCTAGAAATTTTTTTTTTTTTTTTTAATGGGCAGTCACTGATAGGCGGAGTTCAAACCATGTTTTATAAAATATCAGTAAGAAATGGAGAAATAGTTAATTTTTTAATGGTAATGAAAATCAGGTTGACTTTGAGCTTAATTGCTGAATGACAAATTGGGTTGGACCCATTTATTGAGACTACATGTCTTCTCTACTGTATTCAGTTACAACGAGATTTTTTCATCACTTATGTTTAATGTCTTTTAAAGTTCTTGACACTTTAGATATGTTCATGACATAAATAATTAAGGCAACTTGCCATCATGTAAATGGCTGAGAGATTGTCAGCTATCTAGATAGTGTATCTTGCCCCTTCCCTTGTGAGTACAAAACTGCTAGGTTACCCTTATTCTGTGGACACTTTGAATTAGAAAGCTCCTTTTCACATTTTCTTTTTTAGAGACTTCTTTGTAAAAACTAGGGTATCTATTGCTAACTATAAAACTAGGGGAATGCCATTTGAAAGCTTTAGATCTTATTATTAAGTTAATAGAAATTTGAAAGGAAACTGTTGCAATCCCAAATGAAATTTCAGCCATTATATTAGCAAAGTGTCTGCTAAAAGTTAAGGTCTGTCTTAAAAGTTAAGGTAAAATCATCATCAAATTAATATTCTTAAATAACAAAACATTTTATAGAATGCCATGCATCAACAGTCAGAAAATATTTTGTGCCTTCCCTAAGTTTATAACATTGTTTTCAATTGTTGCATATATCCTGAGTGCAAACTCATAAAATAAAGATTACCAAATAAAGTTAAATTTAATAGCTATTTTAAATATACAAATCAAATGTAGTGAATATTTTATGGATGAAGAAATATTTTTCTAGCTCTACCGAAATCGTGAATTATGCTAATCTGTCTAAAAAATAAATTACTGCAATGATTTAAAAATGTAATTTTTGTGATTATTCAATATTTGATCAGCACACTTTTTAAAATTATATTAAATAATGTTAATTCTAATTTTAATGTTGTTTTTTTTTTCTTTTAAATTTCCAAAAATTTTAGAATCATGATTTAATTTTTCTTCTTTATTCTAGGTGTGAAACCACTTGAAAAAGACTGGGCTCCTGAACACTGTATAAGATTTAAGGAAATAGTCACTGAAAAAAGGTTTGTTTCGATCGTAAGAGGAAAACATGAACCAGATTTTCCTGATAGTTCAAGTCTATCATTAGAATTGGTGCTAATAGATACAAGCAGTCCTGATAAAGATGTATATATTCATGAACTTCTGATTGAAGAAAAGCTTGCACAAGCAATCTAATCACTTTATGCACTTGTTCATTTTTAGTCATTTTCCACTTTTTATCTCATTTGTTTAGAATTTATTGGAAATGTGAAAATTTTTCATTTGCTGATTATTCTGTATCATAAGTTTTACTAATATTAGTTCCTGATAACAATTTAGCATAAAAAAATTTTAAAGAAAAAAAGCTTTTTTTTTTTTTTTTTTTTTGTAATTTTTTATATTATGCATTCTAGGTTTTGTTTGGTGTTATTGTACCATTCAATGTTTCTTGAGCTTTTTATAGTTATCTGTGATAATTTCTTTAGGTAAACTGTGGAAAGAAATGAGTTAAAGTTGTATATATTTTTTTTTATCTGTACTTTAGTAAGTTGTTTATATTTTTGAATTTGTTAATGGCTTGTTGTAAAAACTGGATATTATTTTCTTACCAGGAGTGCTTGTTAGTGAAGTTTTATAATGCCCAAGCAGTGAAAGTTGCTTTCAGCAAACTTTTGATTTTGATTTTTTTAATTGGATACAATGACAATATGCTCAAAATCATATATGTCTTTAATCTAGATTTCCCAAGTGTTTCTGAAAATAAAATTTATCATGTAACATTATAAAGACAAATTTTCAAAGACAAATTTAAGTGAATATATGGATACTTGAGTTCACTGTGTTATTTGATGTATTTTTTGTAATGCCATATGTATAATGAGAAATTAGTCCCATCTCCCTTTTTGAAGTGCTAAGGAGTAATTAAGTGTTACGTTTGCAAAATGTATATTTAGTAATAATGATGAAAGGAAAAGTCATATATTTAACACAGAACAGTCTGTAATGATGGTGTGGGCTCAGTTTTTACCTGCTTATTGAACTTATTGTTTGCAGTTAGTTGGAAGTGAATTAAATGTATGTTTATCTTACAGTTTTTGAAAATTTAGAAGTTTTTCCTGCATTTATTGGTATCAGTTTTGCATTATTAACTGTGGACCATAATGTTGTATATATTATTTGATTCATTTAATTATTCAAGATTCCCCCCCCCCCGAAACTTCTACAGTTTGCCATTGTGTTACTGCATACTATGCTTTGTGTTTTCAAAATCTATTTCAAATTTCAAAATTCAGTTTTTCCTGAAATTTATAGAAAAATTAAATGCTGTGATAAATGTTATTAACTGAAAGGAAGGTTACCCAGCCTTTTAAATTTGTAGAGTGTTACTCCTTTTCAGTATTTTCTCTTTAAAATGAGATGCAGTTTATATTTAAAATTACCTGAAACGAAAATTATAGAAATGAAATTTTTGTTGCAGTTTAAAATAAAAATTCAGTTTATTTTGTTGTAAATAAAAGTTAATATATTTTTCTTCATGATAATTTTTATTGCTTTATTAAAGTTGTTTAATTCATTAGTAATGTTATGATTGAAAATTATTTATAAATCAATATATGTGGAATTTCTGAAATATTGTGAAAATGACACACGAGCAGTGACTTATCTTCACAAGCGGTGGATATTTTAACATTTACTAAAATTCATATAGCTCTTGAAATTTTTATATTTTGTAATCAAAACTTTTAGTGAGGCATAATTCTAACTTTTCAAAGCTTCTAAAAATTTTCCTTTAAAGTTGAATATTGTGAAAGTAAACTGTCTGAGATTTTGGCTTTTGAAGCCTCATCATTTGTATTTCAGAAAAAAGTGACCTAGCAGCTAAGAAGTCAAAAAATTAATGAATGTAGATATTTACACAAATATATTTCGACATAGAAATATTTAAACAAAGCATCTTTTTTTTGGGGGGGGGAAGGGCATCAAGAATGCACTAGAATTTTGTGACTAAACTTCTTTCTTCTTAAAGATATTTCTGTCTTATAAAAAGTTTCTGTGAAACATTTTAGGTAGTAGATCATAAAAGTGATAGTTAAAAAGTATTATTTTAAAAATAAAAGTATTAAAATTAAATAATTATTTTTCAAAAGCATTGCTATGCTTCCTGTGTATTTATTTATGTTTGATATGTTATATCTTAGAACCTTTTAAGATGATAGTGTAAATTTCATGTAAGATCTTAATTACTAATAAACACTGAAATTTGCATGGGAATTCTTTTTTTTTTTTTTTTTTCATTTACTAAAATTTTCTGAAAAACAAGTGAAACAAGTGTTTCACTTGAAAGCAAAAATTGCTTTTAAAATAAATAGGAAGTGCACTTACATTTTGAAATTTTATATTGAATGTCTGATGCACTTTAAGAATCATTCATCATTTGTGTATTCAATACTTTCGTTATTAATAGTACATAAGATATTTTGAAAATTGTTTGGATAAAGCTTAATTCATTTTTGAGGGGGATTGAATATATTTACAAAAGGCTGGGAACCTGTTATTGCTGTATGTATGCCCTGCGTTTTAAATAGGTTGGCATATTTTTCGTAATTTAGATGATTTACATTGTTGATTGATATCTAAAGGATTTAATGAGTAGATTGCTGTTGAAAGCAGAAAAGTAGTAGTGATGCTTGTTTTCTTTTTCTTTTTTTATAAATGCCAAAGTGAAACAAGTTTTTCTTCTAAATTTGTTTTTCATATCTTTTAAAGTTGTAAAATTTTATGTAACAGTATTAAAGTGCAGTGTATGCATTATAAGTTGTCTCAACGATGTTAATTGTCTGTATTGTATCTAGAAATTGAATTTAAATGTAAAAAAAATCCGTCACTTTTTTTGTGCTTTTGGAATGTTATATGCAGAGTTTCATGTAATCTGAAATTGTGGCAAGATTCATTTCCATATATGCAGTTTATAAATAAACTTGAAAGACTTGTTTTTAATAAAACTTGTAATGTTTAAGATATTGAGAAGTACGCTAAAATATTTTGAAATACACTGTACAGTAAAAGCTGAATTATCCAAAAAGTTTGGGAAATGTTAAATAAGTGAGAATTCCTAATAGTTGAGTGTATAAAAAATATAATTCATGGTAGAAAAGCCAAATGAAGGCCTAAAACTATTAAAAAAAAAGTCTCTTATTTTTTTATCTGCTTGAATATCAAAAGCCTACATTTATAAAGACTACTGGTGTATTTTAAACTTTATTTAAATATTAAAAGGAAAATCATTGTTGATTGACATTGTTGATGAGTTGAGTGTATGGAGATACTTGGATCCACACTTGAGTCAGGATGTAACCACTTTCAAGTAAAGAACTTGCCCGACATATTATGCATTAAATTCGTAAAGAATTGCAGAGTGAAATAATAAAAATGTCAGAAGGGAAGCAACTTCTTTTGTGACAGTTACTTGTAAATCACACTGGCAATTAAATTCTATCCTGTTTTATCACAACACTAACTTAGACTGGGAAGTTTATATGTAGCTGAGTCTTCCTGTGATTTACATTGCAGAAGGTTTCTTCTCATAATGGTTGAATGATGAAATTTCAGATTTTATAAGTTTTTAGATGATGTAGTCAGAACATAATGTACTGGTGATATTAAAAAATTTAGGTGATAAACTTATTTCTAAAAGTTAAGCAACGGTTTGAAAAATCACTAAATATAGTTAAAATTCTTGAAATTTTGATATGCTATGACTAAAAGCAAGTTGCATCGAGAACATTATGCAAGAGTAGTGCTATCGTTGCTTTATGTAAATACAATACAGCTTAAAACCAGCTGTTTAGGAGGAAGTCGCTATCCAAGAATGGTGATGAACTAAACAATTTCGAGATAACCAAAGTGTAAAAAGGAGTTTGAGGTGACATTTTCCAGCAAAATTGTGTTAAAGAGCCATAGGCCTAAGCAGGTCAATGATAGTCTGACTTTGCTGAATGGCTAAATGTTGAATGTTATGTGGTAAACCAGTTTCTAATTACTGGGTCTGCCTCTTAAAGACCTATCAAAGGTAGGCCAGAGTTATGACATCTGCAGATGACCATTTTTGTTGTTAGTTGCACATTGCAACAGTGCTGCAACTCCACCTCAGCTTAGATTTGCACTTATTTCTGCTACAGGAAAGATAGTATCAGCCATGATAGTGTGCAGAAGGCTGTATGAAAGAGGTTTTTGTATGCTAGGTACCCGACGCTATGCATTCCCTTTACTTCCGACCATCGGAGGGAGTATTTGAATTAGGCATGTAGTTATGTAAAGTAGACTGAAAATCTGTAGAGGTCTGCTCCATTCAATGATAAGTCCCAATTTGCATTACAGAATGATTTCTGGCATGTTTAAAAATAAAGAGAAGCAAACACTGTTGTAAAGGGAGACTATAAATGAACTGCTTGGGAGCAGTTTGCATGTAATGAAAAAAAACGTATATCGGTTTATTAGGCAGTATAATTTCTGTGAAGGTTGGTCCACCTAATAATAGGATGAATGTAAATATGTATATAAAGAATATAATTAATGGTAAATGATTTAAAGAATCACCTGATGCTTTGTGTTCTTGTACGGGCCGCCATTGGTTTAATGCAGTTTTTATATGGTGTATCATAGCCCGGAAGTTTCGATTTGTAAAAAGCAAAGTGAACTTCATGAGAATGGATGTGTCCAGACCATGCCCTAAGAATTAGGTAAGAGCAGTGTTATTATTAAATTTTGAAAGTATTTAATTTGAATTTTGATAATTTGCAGTCTTAGGTGTATTTATGTGTTGACGCGAAATAATGGCAGAACTACATAGATTAAAACGAGGGAACTGCATTGAGAGCAATAGTATCTAAACTATTAAAGAAAGTCAAGGATAGTTTAGCAAAGAAAGATACAGATGAATTATTTATAGAAAGAAAAAGTAATTTGAAGGAGACGATGCAATTCATTCTGTAATTGAGATAGATTCTCTAGAAGTGGATGTAGTTAGTTGAGAAATATCAAGAAGAATGTTCTCCAGCTATTAAACGAATTAATCGAGTGTTAGAAGCGGATAAAATAAGTATTAAAGATCCTGAGCAAAACTTGTTTAGACTAAAATGTACAAAGTACTGTAAAACTTCCAAAACTAGTATTAGAAAAATATTCAGGTGATCCCAAAAAATTTTCGGAGTTTTGGAACAGTTACGAAAGCACTATAGACAAAAACGAAAGTCTTAGTAGGATAGAAAAATTAGCATATTTGAAAACATTACTCGCAGTTGCAACAATGCAATAGCATATTTTAGGTACCTTGATTTTAACAAAAAAACATTTGCACCAGTTTCATCGCAGCCAAGAGTCGCGTAGCTCCACTGAATACTACGACTCTTCCTGGTTTGGAGTTCATGACTGCTGTAACAGCTTTAATATCGTTATTAATCTCTTGTGCATTTGAAATAGATGAATAGTAACGTACAGGTTACTGGCAATATTGAAATGTAGGCTCAAGAGCCACATGCGGTTCTCGCATGAAGAATGTAATTATTTTAAATAAGTTAGTATACTTTTTCTTCTCTTGTTTGTATGTCGCCATTTTTTGAGTGTAAAATAAAAGTTGTTGTGTGTTCCATCATTGGAGTTTACTTCAAATTGTTAAAGAAGTATCACACTGCTTTAGTATCTGACAGAGCTATTTCCTGAACTGTGTCATAAAAAGTTTCTTTAGTGTGATAGCCAATAGCTATCTACTGAATAAAGGCATGGGCAAGAAACTGGAAGCCTTTTGTGTCAGAGTTTCTGAGATTCAGTCATTCATGGATCCTGAACACTGGGTTCATTGCAGTGGGAAAGAAAACTCTGCTGACTTTTTATCTCACCGAGAAAGTGCCTTGTGAGAAGTTCTCTGTGGTTACAGAGACCTAGCTGGCTCTTTCATCCTGAAAGTGTTTGGCCAATAAATCAACAAACAAACATCGATGAGAGAGTGTTCAAAACGAAGCAAGGGTTTAAACATCTCTTCAAGTTTGTGTTCAAGTCATAGAAACTTCAGCATTACTAGATTTAACCCGACTCGGCAGGCTGCTAAAGGTGTATCGAATTACGGCTTATGTTTATCTTCCGTACATATATAAAAGAAAGAATCTGTGTGTCTTTTGTTCGTGCTCCGCGTAAGCTAATAGACGCAGAGCTACAAAATTTGGTATATAGGTCCATCTAGACAAGAGCCAGTGCATCTCGAAGCGATTTTTTTCAAAATTTGAATCAGATTTTTTCGTATTTTATCTTTTTGATTTTATCGCATCATTTTAAATAGTTTCATTGTTTTAGAAATGTGGTTTTGGCAGCAGTTTTTCAGTAAATTGTATGCTGGACTGCTGACTGTTGAAAATCAGCACTGTTGCCACTTGGAAAAATGAGGGTGATAATTCTGTTCAGTTTTTAAATTTAATGTTTCTCTTGGATACTGGTTTGTTGAGAGAAGGCAACGGGAAGTTGGTTAATTTATTTATGAGGATAATTAATATTTGTATTAAGGGATATTGCTTATTTCATTGTAATATGTAATACATTTTTTTATGAAGTTGTTTTGCAGAGTAAAACTGCGCAGTTTTTAAATTTAACGTTTGGTGTTTTTCCCTTCAGGCATTTCCCCGTTACATTTAAAAGCCAGACTAAGGCTGGCCGCATAACTGCTAGTAAATAATATAAAACGAAATTCGGTGAAATTCAAAGGTGTATTAAATTCTATTGAGATTTCGAGAGCTGAGCTCTATTGGGTGAAAGTTACGCAACGAAAAAACTTTTCGAAAGCGTTTCTAGATCTTTCAAGTGGAAAGCTTGTAGAAAAGACGTCCTTGTTATATGCACTCAACCCAGAACTGGATACCAATAGTCTTCGTTTAAAGTTCAGACTTCAATTCTCAGATCTTCCTTCCGATGGAAAACGCCCATGGCTGTTACCATTATAAAGATAGATACAGTGAACTGCTAATCTTAAGAGTCACATACTAAATTACTTCATGCTGGAGTCGAAGCTACCTTAGCCGAAATTAAAAAAAAAAAAAAAAAAAAAGGGGTGTGGGATCATAAAAAGGGAGCCAGTTCGTCAAGTCCATGTTAAATAAGGGCTGTTTGTGTAAACGATACAAGGTGCGTGCCGGTGCATAAGAAATAGCTCCTTTACCACCTGATCGTGTTCTGCAATCACATCCATCTTCTGTAACAGGGCTGGATTATGCTTGTAAGAACGATTGTAAATTATTTAATTGTTATTAGACAAAATATCTATTGAGAAAATGGCAACAGCTAATTTCTGGATATCGTTCTATTTATAATTTTAAAAATATACTATCAAATGATGTGCGCTTCAAATGTTTAATGGTACGATGCAGTAAGTACGCTTGTTATGTTATGTACGTTTACGAATACGTTACGTATAGGTTATTAAGATTTATCTTTAAATAAATGTTTGTCTTTTACAACCATTTTACGAGTGATTAATTTAACTACAAAAGGAAGTTAACATAAATCAGAAGTGGGATTATTCTGAAACCTAAGCCTTAAGCTACAAGAATTTGCTATACGTAAATAAATTGAAAAGAATTTGAATTTCAAGGTATGTGCATTGACTGATGTAACATATTTATTATAGAATTTAATTTTGTTATTTTTTTATCATTTTGGAAAGAGTTAATTTTTTTTAATTTCTTTAAATTTTGAAATATAATTAGAACGTCAAACAAACTTATAAAATACTAATAACTGTGTTCTACTAAGTTGTCTAATTGGAAGTTAATAATAATAGCATATATATATAATTTGCATTTTAATGAGTACGAAAATGTCTATTTTCGGTAAGGCAAAGAAATGCGATTTAAGAATATTAGCTGAAGAATTGGGAGAAGATGTAAATGAGAGTCATAAAATGAGCGATTTGAAAAAGATAATTTTGGCTATCAAAGTGTACGATGAAGAATGGTTAAAC